CCCCAAAACCCCAAAACCCCAAAACCCCTCTATCCAATTTTGAAGAAATCGAATGAATATAATAATTTATTATTAATTTTCAAAATGAATTTAACTCCACAATAGATGATCAAGTAAGTCCACATCAGTCCATCTCTTACCTTTCTAACAAAATTTAAACAATATTAATATAGAGAGGATTTCAACAATTAGATGAAGTCAAGAATTCAAATAAGAGCTGATACACTAAAAGAGATCTCAAAGCGCAAAGATTCTGTGTAAAAGGAACTTGATGCTATCAAAGATTAGTAAGTATTGCAGGATGGATTATATATTCTGACCAAGGAATTTCAATGAGATCTCAGAATACAATAGAATTAATTACTGAATGAATACTAATGTTACCATAGGATCAAAGAGTTAAATTTGAAGTACAAGGAGGGTCAGAGTAAGAACTCACAGAAATTCACAAACCCTACAAACACCAAGTAAGTTATTACATACACACAACACCACACACACATAATATTAATTCAATAAAAACTCAGCATATTCCTATAGACTCTTTATCAAAATTTCTGAGATACTAATTCTCCAGGCAGACATCAAGTCAAAGAACGGGAGGCTGTATTATACAATTAGCGACAATGAAGATCAGTTCAACACTTCAAAGCAAGAAGAGTGCAATGTGATTGAGCATTAGGACAACCAAAAGGAGCGAAGAATTTATGTGTTCAAAGAGAAGTTTTAATTCATACTGAAAACTGGGTTGGAATAGCTACAGATTAAGCTATATTCAGTTGATCAAAGCAATCATGAAAAAGAGCAGTCTGCATATATTTACAAGGTGTCTGATAAGCTAAAGTATCTAATTGATCAGAGAGATCACGTTGAGTAAATATATCTATCTCATATAACGAATAGGATGATAAATGACAACAATTTTGAGTTGAAAATAGTAGTCAGATGGATTTATGACATGGATATCGAAAGGCTTAGTGAACTTTAACAGAAGCAGTACTTAATTGAAAAAGACTTGTTTATAATTGAGGAGCACTACTCCAAGGCAATAAAGAACATTCAATAAATGTAGTAGAAAGCACCTCAGATTACTCATATGAAAGAGGAGTGGGGAGTGTTCCTTATAAGTCCAAAGGCCATTTAGCACCAAGTTGTTAATCAGTTGTCACTGCAAAATTCAGCGCATGGACACAAGTATAGTATCTCAAGTGCAAACCAAGTAAATATAACATAGAATAGTAGTTCAAGCTAGCACAGTGGGAACAAGAGCTAAAATAGTCAGAGTAGATCATTAAATAAGATTAATTTTACTAAGAGTAGAACTAGTCAAGCATCTAATCAAAAGCAAGTCAATAGTAATTATTTCGCAACACATTAGCATCATTTGCCTGAACACGTGATCAAGAAAGTGAATATAGATCTTGCTACTTAAGATAATAATCAAAATTAGAATGGCAACTGGCAGTTCAACTCACCTTAATAAAAATAATTTCTGCCACCCACCTAGGATAATTTAAAGAAATTAGAAAACAAGAAGAGGAACCCGATTGGAGGGTCAATAATGGATTCTATATTAGAAGATGTAATCAATAAGAAGCCTTCAGTGGCTAAGTCTGTAGCACTTTCTAACATGTCATCTTTCAGCACAATGAGAACAGGCACCTTCTTCAAAATGGTTGACTCCCCTTTTAAGTTTTCCTTAATGAGTTCCTTCAATAAAAATGACTAGAAAGCACCCTAAAGCACAATAAACGGCATAGGCCAAACGACAAGTGGTGGTCATAAACTAATGCATCAAGCCAATAGCTTTAATTAAGGTATAAACAAAAGAATTCTAGATCAGTAAGTGCTTCCCTAATAAACTATGAGACTCACAAGTATTAGGGATTAACTAGCTAACCAAGACTAGTTATAAATAAGACAATAAATAGCTGCCAAGAAAATTGGCTCTGTTGATCTTTCAGACGATCTCTGACACCATTCTATTTAGAGTCAACGAGCTCTCTAATGTTTATAATCATCATTTAATTGTAAATAATCTCAATCTCCAAATCATATGCATTCTGCGGGGTTTTGGGGTTTTGGGGTTTTGGGG